TCGCTTTTCTTGAGGCACCAGCGTTCAATTCCCATTTTTACAACATAACCCACCTCTGTCAGCAGCGCCAATCCAAAATATTAAAACTAATGATTTTTTTTTTAATTTAACTGGCGGAAGTGGTTTAAAAAGAAATTTAAACATACTTACAAGGTCACTTTTCCCACTTACTAAGCTTCTGAAGTACGTTTAATTTTTTGTTCTTCGGCTTTTTTCCATTTCGAGAGGGGGAAAAAAAAAAGAATCCCCAAACCTGTACTGTGAGAGGACTGGAACTAACAGAGCTTGGATTCCTAAGAACTTGTGCCTTCCCAGCACCTCGTCTCTCTTCCTCCCTTGCCCCAAGCCCCCCAGTACCAACACCGCAGAACCACAGTATCCACCAGTACCTCACCTCTCGGCTGTGCTCCTCCCTCCACTTCAGACTCCCACTATACCAGCCAAATAGCTAATCCTAAACACACAAAACTGTGACATCGGTAAGTGTGTGGTTTACTTAGCCTTTCTTTTTTTGTGCCAGTAATGATGTAAAATAAAAGAACTGTCACTTTTAATTCAATCAGGTTTTATTTTGGATGTTAATATTAACATTTTTAGAAAATAGACTCAAAGGCTGGCCATAAAAAAAAAAGAATAATAATTATGTATCAGCAAGCGAAGTCACATCTTTTTTTTTCTTATTCTTTACTTTCTTCCTAGAGAATATGGCACGCTTCATAGCTGATCTTTTACAGATGCCCATCTTTATGGTCTTCAGAGTTTTCTGCCTTGGCTTTTTGTCACCTCTGTAAAGCAAAAAAGGGAGATATAGATTAGAATAAAATGGAGAACGTACTTCCACATTTGCTGGGTTTTTAAATAATCTGTCCATGAAAGTATATGAACTTAGAAGTACTGTCACAAAAAGTACAAGGAACATTCCATCTTACAATGTTATGACATTTAATCTTCCTAAAACTGTTTCTCCACTTTATTGCCATTATTTTTCATTATTCAGTGTTTTCCTTTAAATGGATGTAGAAAACTTAAGAAATGCCACCAACCCAAGTATAAAAAAGCACAGACTTCTGTGCTCAATATATAATGCATGAATATATAATAGAAAGGCTTTGAAGAAAGTACATAAAGCTTAACAATATTATGAAGACTCCTGCAAGTAACACAAGACCTAAATATAACTAGCAAGTGGATTGTTTTCTGTCTCTGCCAAAGGATGCATTTCATAACACAAAAAACCACTGAATAATTTTAAGAAATAAAACATACAGATGTTTTTATTAGAAACCTAAGTTATCTTCTGTAATAAATCAGCAAAAGAAATAACTGATTGCCTGAAAGGACTAAACCATTCCAGTACAATATATACTTGACAGAAGAAACAGATGACATTTCACAAATTTCTTTTAGTATCCTTTTTACTTTTCTAAGCAAAGGAAAAAAAAAAACATTAAGGGGGGAAATTTTTAAGTGACAACTGTAAAATGAAATATTGGTACATTTTAGCTCTCATACTCCATAACCAAAACTCAGATTAGTGTCACAGAAGGACATGAAGCAATACACCTGTAGCCCTCTACCAGCCAGCAGGCATCTGGTGACTCTCTCTTGACGCTGATCCAAGAGGTTAACTATCTGAATCTCACTACGCAACAGAGGTACATCTTTTGGGAGGAAAAAGTTGCATTTCCACTGTTACATCCATTCAAGTCAAGAATCACAAACAAACCCACACAGTCTGCAGAGGAAGTTACAAAAGTGTGGGCCAACTATCCCAAACTAGAAAGACTGAGCCAACTGCTGGATCATCTCTTAGCAAATCCCCTCTCCTCTTTTCAGTTAGTTCCCTCTGAAGACCATCACACACAATTTTTTTTGTCTCTTGATACACAGAAGTACGTGCTTGTGTATGTTACAGAAGCACAATCATGGCAGAATAAAAGAGCTTAATGTGCTCCTCTTTAACATGGTGCAGATTCAGACCATACTACAGAGAGCACCTGAAATACCTGATGGAAAAAAGAAAAACATGCCACGACAAAGCAAGAGAGACATGAAGCAATAAAAACAGTGCAGTGACTTTCTACTTCCCTTTCAGGAGGAATCCAAAGGGGATAAAAGTGTTTCATTACTTTAATTTCGAATCTTCTTGACAGAGCTATCTCATGCACTCTTCACCAAGTTTGGGATCCATATAAATCAGTTTTGAACGAAAAGCCACAGTTAAGGAATTGGGAGCCAGAGTAAGTCACCTGCCTGTTTTTTATCATATCCTCCTTCAGTATGTACCCCCCAGCAATACATCAATTGGGCAACAGTGAAAGCTGATGACAGCATCCAAAGCCAAAAATTATCTCTAAGTGATTTCCATGAAAAAAGATCTAATCTCACCTGAATGCTATCTTTTATTACATTAATATCACACTTACTGGCAAGCTGTTCTGGTGTGGGAGAGACTGGGACAGGTACTGCGTTTGTGACCTGCCTTGCCACAGACAAAACAGCCAGCATCAGTCTTCTCACAAGCGTGGCTTTGAAGAGCGCAGCAGTTGCAATTGTTACAGTGAAACCAAGCTGCAAAATAAGTAACATGATTTATGATCTTGAAAAGGTTTGGAATGATCATTCTGAAACTAAGCTTTAAATATAGGCTTATATTATCAGGTTTTTAATTTTGTTTTAGTTTTACAGAGATGGATGTAGTCAGTTTCTGGTCCCTTACCACATTTCGTAAGGCAGCCAGGAACTTCTCTATTAGATATACTGTGTAACTATTTCAATATAACTGAATTATTTTGCCATTAGAACTGTTATTCTGTACGTGATCTTAACATGAAAAACAGTCTCGATGTTAAAATGGCCTTAACAAATCGTGATTTCTGCTACCGGTAGCAAAAATGAGTGCTTCGGCTATTTAAACACAGCTGTAAATACAACTGCATCTGTGTATGAAACTGCAGAGATCATGCCCTCTCAAACATTTTAGTAATTTCCTACTTGTTTATAAAATCCCAATGAAAAAGTTTACAAAATCACGAAACACCTATATGACAAATTGAAATATTTAAGTTTTCCTATAACAAATATAACTGGGATTTAGTATGCCTTGACAAGAATTTATCACGTTTCCACACAGTATACCTAAATATATCTAAATTATCTAATGGCAACTTGTGAAATTGAGATTTTTCCTTTACTCTATGTCTTCTGAATGATTACATTTTATCTGTTTTACAGAGTATTTTCTCTTCCGGTTTGTCATCTCAGTTTCTTTGGACTAGAGCTTAAACAATAAGCGTACTTTTATTTAGAAAAGTATTTTTCTGTACTTACAGGGTTTTACACATTTTTTGCAAAGAACACAATGTTTCCATCGTCTACCATCCTACAAAAGATGAATAAATGCATTGTTTGTTTGTTTAAAAAACCCACTGATTCTATCTTAAAACTGAACTACTGATGTATCATCCCTATTATTTACAGAAACAGGTCCTCTGGAGGAAGGACTGTAACTTAAAAACAACAGTCCTGAGAATCTGTGACAACAGCAAGCAAAATGGCTGCATTTTGAAATTAGCAAGTTCTACAACTTCGAAAACGTAAGAAGAAATGTATGTGTCAACACACCACTGATGAATAAGGTATGGTGTAAGTGGCAAGTAGTAAACCTTTCCTGTCCTCTTTCCAACACAAAGGAATTGGGGAAAGAGAAATCAATTCCCAGCAGGCTATGAATGATGTCCTGTGAAGTTAGTAAGTCGTGTATGAAACTGAACTGTTTGGGGTTTCCCAAGGAAATCAGTATCAGGATAGGTTTTTACCAGAGCAAACAGGACAGAAGTTATTATCTGACTACTGCTAAAATTGCCATCCAGAAAGAAGTCAAAATACTTACTTTTGACGTACATGAATTGCATATCTCACAGTGCTGGTTACCAGAACTAACATACCGCTGACATATAGCGCAAAACCTGGAAAAAAAACAATTATAAATGTACTGGTTCTCTATTTGCTCACGAAGCAATATAAATTAATTTTATACAAGCTCAACTATCATATAGGGATTGCAAAATCACTTTGCTAAAATAAAGGTGATGTTTTTGATGTGTAAAATCGCAACTTAGGCCCAGAGCCCCATAATCATTTAAACACAGTATATCCAAATAGTAGAATTCAGGTGCTTGCATTCAAATTAGCAACACTATCAGCAGTAAATCAAACCAAATCCATTCCTTTGTCCTTGATGCTTCTCTTAATGTTCATTTTATTAACTACTGTTTCAACCAACCTGATTTTAAGGGATAGCTGTAAATCTCTCTCTCTGGTAGGCATACACAACACTTCCTATAGACTAGCTGAGAAATCTCATCATCCCACACTGGAAAACATAAACCTCTTTTTAGGTGCCCAGCTCGCCTACACATTGTTTATAGAACGTGTGACCTTAGAATGAGACAGAGCACTGTGCTCTTGAGCCTGGCATCCAAAAGCTGGGCATGACAATACTGAACAGCACCACCCCAAAGTCCTTGAGAGACCTTATGCCCTAATTGAGAACAAACACACTCCTTCAATCACTTGAATGTTAACACATCTTACCTATAACCCTCTTCTACAGGAAGTACAATCATACTTGGGGTGAGGTTCGTGAAGATACGGACAGGGGACTGTCTACGACCTGTCTTGCCATGTTTATAAAGTGCATGATTATCATAGTCTACCTAGAAAAATAAAACCATAGAAAAAGAGGCTTAAACGGAATGCTAAGCACAGGCAGAACTATCTACATATTTATTATATGTCCCTTATGAAATTTTCATTTTTATATAAGGACTCTAACCCCAAATTAGATTACAAATTCTACAGCAAGTATTTTGTCTTACTTGTTTTTAAATTTGTGCAACTGTAATAACAGGCTAGTCTCAGGAAACTTAGTTCCCAACACTAAAAGAATCCTATTTTACTTACCCCTTTTTGCTCTTTTGCACAGGATATCTAAGATAACATTGCAGTTGTTTGTTCTACAAAAGAGCAACCCATTAAAAAAGCTAAAACTATACTGTTTGGTCTATCTGGCAGTACAAGAGTCCACGAGCATCTTAACCTATCTCAGAATAATTACAAAGCTGCAAATCCAATCAGCAGTGCTTTTTCCAGCACTGCCTTTGGACTTGTCACAAAAATTCTCATCTCTGAACACTAGCAGGAACGCAGTCTAGCCTAGCACGAGTTTCCAACCTTCTTCCACAAATTTCCATTCTACAAGGTACAAATATGTTGTCCAGAACACCCATGTCAAACTTTATGCAGAGTTGTTATATGAGAAAATAAAACTTTAATATCATGATACCATGATACCATGACTATCTCTCAAAAGTCACTGGCCAGATTATTGCTTTATCACTGACAACTTCATTTATTACAGAATTCCAAAAACTTCCATTGTTGTAATTCTACTCTGGTCCCAGAAGTTTTGGAGGTAAAAGACCTTAATTTTTTTTTTTTTTTTTTTGACCAGGGCTGGGCATTACCCACCGAGCTACTGACATTTCAACATCTGGGAAAAATTAAACACTCTTCTTTAAGTTACCTCTCACCTCTGCAGCATGCACCTGTCAAAATTAGTGCAAATTTTGTCACACCGAAAACCTTGCAGACAAAACTAGTTAATAGATAGATGAGTTAAAAGGGATGTAATGAACTGCAGGAGTGTGACAAAGTTATCAAAGGTATGACTAACAGAACAAATACAGAATCTGGGCTTCACATGATAAGCACCGCTGGGTTTGCAGTGCCTCCAACGCAGTCAAAATTAAAGTTCAAGAAGGCGGCCCATCTACAGCCAAGTGCTACCACTGTATCTGCTTTCATGTGCATTCCTGTTCACACCGCACGTGACTGAAATTCAGCAGATTCACTGGGTTCAGTTGTACCTGGTAATCCATCATACTGAAGCTTGGGAAAAATTCCAGAATACGAGATTCAAAGAAGTATGGAAAGATCCAGAAGATGGGCATCTCTTGGTTGTTATGACCTAGTAATGAAAAGACTTAGATGTACATTAAACAAGGTACAAAAAGCATCAAAAATTTACAGTAAATACATAAACATGTATATGTATGTCATGCTGGGCATAAGAACTAGTTCCTTTAGGTGACGAAGTCTTGGTATATTTTATGTATGCAGAGCTGTAAGCACCACCTAACGAACAACTCTTGTTCTTAGTTAATTTTTAAGAGAGACTTAGAGAACTGGGGATTATTAAACTAAAAGTATCAGGAGAGTATATTAGATATATGGTAGTTCATATAGAAATTATAACATGCGTGTGTTCACATTCACCTGAGTAGCAAGAATCACAGCTTTTAAACAGGTACTTTTTCTTACAGTGATGTTACAGTTCAACCCACCTATCTGGCTGTAATACATACCTTCTTTGTCTGCCTCCTTCCACATTGCCATCAGTTTTTTAAAACTAGAAGCCAGTGCTTCCACTAAACCTCCAAATGGGGGATCAGTTACCATAATGACTCTTTCACCATTGTCTTGATACAAGAATTTCCTACAAGTTTCACGTGCAGCCTGTAAGAAACAGAGGTTAATTTCCAGAAATATAGATTCAAGAGCTGTAAAAATATTGTATTTGGCAATAAAATTATTATTTTAGAAGTTTCAACTTTGAAGATGGAAGTTATTTCCTCTTGTGGGGGTGCATTTTCTCTTGTGTAGTGCTTAAAAAGAAAGAACGAACTAGTTAAAGCACTGAAAACAAGTGCCCTGTTCAGCCAGGGATAACGTATCCAGGGCAGATGCAGTTCAAGCATAGTCTTCTATCATAAGATAGTGTTCTTCCCAAGGGTACTAAATTTAACTTGGAAAAAAGATGTTATTCATAGCAAGAAAACAGAGTTTAGGCTCAGAATACATTTTATTCTTGACCTTCAACTTTAGTTTTAATCCGTAAAGCCTGAAGCCTTACCAAAGTAACAGGAAAAAATTCAGTCCACTGAAAACTGATTCAATTCATACTGGTTATAAAAATATAGTCTTCAAATTTTAGCAATCCAACCCGGACTCTATTATTAAAGGAAATGTAAAAAAATATGTATTCACTGCCATTTGGCAGTGTTCCCTCATCTATTATTTAGATTCTACTGCATTCCAAAACCAGTTTTTTAACATTAATATGCATTCAAAAGTGCAGCAATTCAGTCCTTGAATACACTACAACACAGTGCCATTACAGGTGTCACCTTTTCACACCTTGAAAAGAACACTACAGTGTTTATAATGCAGATGAAGAGTCTTTTATTTTAATTGAAAAGTACAAAACTTGAATACGGTAATGGAAAAAAAAATTCAAAGGTAAGGCTTTCAGACCAGCATCTCATTTCATTCTAGACAATTCTTTTTATTTTCAAGATCCTATTCAAAATTAAGCTTCAGAATGGAAAAAATCTGAAAATTACCTACATACGGGAAAAGGTATTACAATAAACATGTTTATGCAAATCAGCAGTGGCTTACTAATAATGGCAGGGGAAGAGCAAAGAGTGAGTATACTACTGGGATAAATGTTTGAAATTAATGTTTGGAATTGAATTACACCGTGATTCTCTGTACAAAGCTACAATAAACGTCCTACTGCAGCTGCAGGTTTCCTAATGAACTCAAAATTAAGCACTTAATATGACATTTAAAAAGAAACAAGAAATTCAGCATTTTTTTAAACCATGACACTAATTCAACCTCATTTTATGACAACAAGGTTAACCTTTTGACCTTGCTTGTCTGGAATAAAGCAGGAAAACCTCCTCTTCCCTCCCACCTCAAGTGCCAGTGAACAAGTCCCATGGCATCCACTGAGCTTGTAAAGACTGGGAATAAAACAATTAATTCTGTTGTAGCAACACAACAACAGGGCTAATGAACACTCATATAAGGCGACAACTCACACCAAATTGTCATTTTAATAAAAGCAGCAGTTAAGGTGTGTAAGTAACATCAGTTAGCATAAATTTAATAGGCAACTTCATCTTGGAATCAAGTGGGAGATAATTACTGATAGTACTGTTATTCTTTGATTTCCACTACTGTTGACCATTTTTACCTCATGGTGGTTGTCCTCTACTAGACTAGCCATGACTTTCTTACAAAATTCTGCATCAACAACATGTACTTTTTTACAAAGCACTCAAGAAATACTTGGCCTTACCTCTCCACCAAAAAAATAATGATTAAACATGTTGTAGTGGCAGAATTCATCTTCTGTGTAAAACTGTGAATACCTGTAAAATAAGGTTTAAGTAGTAGAAAAATAAAAACAACTTCTTGCCCGTCCTAAAGGGCATTTACAGTGAAAACAAGGCCTTAAGAAAAACAACATCTTTGGGTTCTGATTACTGACAACACACACCAATACAGGGAATTATTAGGTATAATTACTTTTCTCATAAACTGGATGTCATTTGTGTATGTGTGCAGGAACAGAGATGCAGAGACATGAAAGGGAAAACGACCACCAATTTATCTTTTAAAGCACTAAGAACACAAATCTTTGTGCATACCCTTCAGACAGATAAACGTTTATCAAAACCTACCTGAAATCAATATCTAGCAGAAGGCTTCTAACCTTGAAATCTTCTTCTTGTGATGCTTTTGACTGGATCATTTCATGAAGCCTGAATTATAATTGGAGCAAAGAAATTTAACACATAATCATTGGCTTCAGAAATTATCTTGCAAGACAAGAATGGCTGGTACTTTACTAAACCTAAAACCAAACAGATAGAGAAAATGGAGTAATCTGAATTTGGATGGTTCTATTTCGCTAATATTCAAAGTTAGAAAAAGATGTTAGTCTTAAAAGGTGAAAAGTCAGTGGAGCCTACTGGATCACCATGAACAAAAAAAACCCCAAACATAAGCAAAGAAACTCATTGCCACTTCTGTAAGAAACAAAGCAGGACATTCAAAGTGTATGTATGTGTGTTATTCGCAGTGCAGCTAAAGCCTTCTCCTGTATCTTATGAGCTCAAAGCAAGACCCCACTAGATGCTTGGATAACCCCAACCAATTAAAGCATAGCGAACCTCTTATTAGGGGAGAATCCTTGATTATTTAGCTATTAGTAAGCTGCACAGTTTTGAGACTGAAATATTATTTGCAAGTATAATAATTCTCACTGACGTACCTGGGTGTTCCAACAGAGAGCACTCGTCTGAATCCCAAATCAATAATAAGATCCAGAAGAAACTGGCAACTTCTGTCTGCAAATAAATACTGTGCATTTGTTTTTTTATTCTCCAGTGGATACAGAAGTTGAGTGGGACTTTTTAACTGGGCAGTGGAGACATCACACAGGAACTGGTGATCCAAGTGTTTTTCCCATTCAGCTGGCAATAGCAATTGCTGGCATTGCTGGCAAAACCTCCTCTTTGATAACGGCAACAGAACAAAATTCTTGTACCTTTAAATACAAAAGACAATAGGGAACAAGCTTTTAAAAAGCCTCTATAAAAGATATGAGGGGGAGCTCTGAAGGGGGTTTCATATGTTCTAAGAGTTCAATTTAAACAGGCAACATAGTTTAAGCTGCTCTTGCAAAACTCCACTATCTACATGTGAATGAAGTAATAGTTATGAAAAAATATTCAAAGGACACTTTGAAAAAGCCTCCCCTGAAAGCAAGCATATAATACACTGGCCAAATATACTAAGAGTCCCCATAAAATAACTGGATTACAGAGTGAAGACTCTGTATCAACTACCAGCAAGCAGTCTTGTATGTTTATACACAAACCCAAAGATTATTTGTTACTGTATTACCTTTGCTTCTTTTCACAGTGTTAAGTTACTTCTGCACACTAAAGTCACAATTTTTGAACTGAAACTGCTACTGACCTGTTGTTAGCACATTATGAACACTAACATAAGAAGAACTATACATACCAAAAAAAAAAAAAAAAAAAAATCCCAACAATTCCTGGGTTGAAAATACCATGCTCTAATTAGATGTTTCATGCTATTTTCCCATTGCAGTCAACCAGTTCTTCTTTTTCCAAACCCCTCTGGCACGTTTTCATATTTTAAAGAATCCTGAAATAGTATCTCTACATTCAGAGTACCCAAACTTGCATTACTTGATTTTTACTGAAGAAAATACACATAACAATACCTTTCCACATTCTGTCTGTGTGTAAAAGAAGGCTGACGATTTCTATTATATTCTTCACGTGCTGCAAGCCTAGTTTCTGACACCTGTAAAATTTATGTATATAAGAAGTTACAAAATGAACAGGTATCACTCGGTATTGTAGATTAAATCTCAATATTAAACAAAAAGGGTGCATCAAAGGTCTCATGCTTTAGCTGCTCTGCATAGAAAAATTATCACATTCTTTGGATTGTTGCTTCAGAAGAACAAGCATGACTGCAGCACAGCGGCATGTTGCATAACAACACAAGTCTCTCACTGTGAATTTAAACTGCAAAATATAAATAAATAGAAGCATTTCAGTCTTCTACCATATATAGGACTCCGGGAAAAACCCAGAAGACGTTTATGATCAAGATAGAAAGAGGTATACTTTCCATTAATGCATGCCAGCAGTTGCATTCCCTCTGATGAACTGATCCTGCACAACTGATGACAGTGGAAATGTTGCCCACGTCTTTTGTGTGTGATTATTTTAAAAGCATGACTTCTCTGAGTCTTCTACTTTGTTCCCACAAAACATACTGAACGGTTTCACGGTTAACAGAGTTTCAAGACATTTGCACAAAACTTACGGAACTGAATTGTTTGAAGGGGGAGACAGTAAAATTCAATAGAACAAAAGACGCCGTGATACAAGTGACATTCAAAATCAAATTTCGTTAAGAATACCATTTAAATCTACACAACTGAGTGATTAACCACCTCATTTTCTCTTTTTACAACTTTTCAGTAGTAACCAGCACAGCAATGAAACACTTACAAACCTGATTAAATCCCAGCCTGCCAATCTGCTGAGGACAATGACCACAACACAAGATACTCATTCAGGAAACAGAAAAAGTAACACAAAGTGCAGTGGACAAAAAACACAGCAAGCTCTCCGTGAACACATATCAATCCCAATTTTGTTACCCTACAATTATGTGACCAAAGTTCTTTAGATGAAAGAAATTGCTGCGGATGTTCTGAGACTACTGAGCATCACGCAGATCCCCACCACCTTGCTATTTTGTACATCCCATTGTTTGCCTGTATCCACCAGACTTTCGCTGTCTTAATCATGGAAGATGAGGACATCTTGGCATCAGAACTATCCTGTTTTGTTCCACGTTTGTCCTGGTTTCAGCTGGGATTAAGAGTTAATTTTCTTCCCAGTAGCTGGTGTAGCGCTGTGTTTTGGATTTAGTAGGAGAAGAATGTTGATAACACACTGATGTTTTAGTTGTTGCTAAGTACTGCTTACACCAGTCAAGGACTTTTTCAGCTTCCCATGCTCTGCCAGGTGCACAAGAAGCTGGGAGGGGGCACAGCCAGGACAGCTGACCCAAACTGCCCAAAGTGCTATTCCATACCATATGATGTCATGCGCAGTATATAAAGCAGGGGGACTTGGCCGGGGGGCAGCGATCACTGCTCAGGAACTGGCTGGGCATTGGTCAGCGGGTGGTGAGCATTGCATTGTGCATCGCTTGCTTTGTATATTTATTATTATTATTATTATTATTTTCCCTTCCTTTTCTATC